TTTTTTTGTGCCTGGCTTATTTCACTCAGCAAAATGTTCACCATGTTCACCCATGTCACAAATGACAGAATTTCCTTCTTTTTAAAGGCTGTGTAGTATTCTAGTGCGTGTGTGTGTAAAGAAAATGTGGAGAGAGATACATATATTTGAATGTGTGTGTATATATATATGCACATCTCCACATTTTCTTGATCCATTTATCCATAGATGGACACTTAGGTTGTTTCCACATCTTGGTGGTTGTGAATAATGCTGCAGTGAAACTGGGATTGCAGGTGTCTCTTCAACATACTGATTTTAATTCCTTTGACTACATACCCAAAAGTAGGATTCCTGGATCATATAGTCATTCTGGTTTTAGTTTTTAGATGTTTTAGTTTTCTGAGGAACCTCCATGATGTTTTCTCAAATGGCTATACTAATTTACATGCCCACCAACGGTTTACCAGGGTTCTCTTTTCTGCAGTCCTCAGCAGCACTTCCCTTTTGTCTTTTTGATAATAGCCATTCTAACAGGCATGAGATAATAATAGCTCAGTGTAATTTTGATTTACCTTTCACTAATGATTAGAGAGTTTGAGCTTTTTTTCATGTATCTGTTGGCCATTCATGTCTTCTTTTAAGAAATACTCATTGAGCTTCTTTGCCCATTTTTTAATCAAGTTACTTGTTTTGTTAGTGTTTAGTTGTTTGAGTTCCTTATGTATTTTGGATGTTATCCCCTTATGAGATATGTGGTTTGCAAATATTTTCTCCCATCCCAGTGAGTTGTATCTTCACTCTGTTAATTGTTTCCTTTGTTATGCAGAAGTTTTTTAATTGGATGCATTTGTCTGGTTTTGCTTTTGTTACCTGTGCTTTTGGGCTTCTGTCCGAGAAATCATGGCTCAGATCAGTGTCAGGGAGCTTTTCTCCTGTTTTTTTCTAGCAGTTTTACAGTTTCAGGTCTTAAATTTTAAGTTGATTTTTGTATGTGGTATGAGATAGGGTACAATTTCATTCTTATGCAAGTCGATACCCAGTTTTCCTAACACAATTGGCAAGGCATTCCCCATCGTTTGTTCTTGGTACCTTTATTGAAAATCGATTGACTGTAAGTTCATGGTTTTATTTCTGGGCTATCTGTCCTGTTCCATTGGTTTAAGGTGTCTGTTTTTATGCCATTATCATGCTGTTGTTTGATTACAACAGCTTTACCTTATACAGCCATGTTCCATATAACAATATCTCAGTCAACAACAGACTGCATGTAAACAGTGGTCCCATAAGATTATAATGGAGCTGAAAAACTCCTATCATCTACTGATGTTATATTCTAGTGCAGCATACTACTCGTGTTCATGGTTATGCTGGTGTAAACAAACCGACTATTCAGTCATATCAAAACAGCACATACCATTATGTACACTACAGTATATATTTGATAATGGTAATAAACAACTATTACTGGCTTATGTGTTTACTATGATTCTGACCCTGTATAGGCCTAGGCTAACGTGTATGTTTGTGTCTTAGTTTTTAACAAAGGTTTAAAAAGTAAAAAATAATTTTAATAATAGAAAAAGCATGTAGAATAAAGATATAAAGAAAGAGGCTGGGGCCTGGTGGCTCTCACCTGTAATCCCAGCACTTTGGGAAACCAAGACAGGTGGACCACTTGAGGTCAGGAGTTTGAGAACAGCTGAGGCAACATGGTGAAACTCCGTCTTTGCTAAAAATGCAAAAAATTACCCAGGCGTGGTGGCACATGCCTGTAACCCCCCTAGTCAGGAGGCTGAGGTAGGAAGATTGCTTGAACCCAAGAAGTGGGGGTTGCAGTGAGCCAAGGTTGCGCCCCTGCACTCTAGCCTGGGTGACAGAGCAAGACTTTGTCTCAAAAAAAAAAGAAAAGGAAAATATTTCTGTATAGTTGTACGATGTGTTTGTTTTAAGATAAGTATTATTACAAGCATCAATAAATTAAATAAGTGACCGGGCGTGGTGGCTCATGCCTGTAATCCCAGCACTTTGGGAGGCCGAGGTGGGTGGATCACCTGAGGTCAGGGGTTTGAAACCAGCCTGGCCAACATGGCGAAACCCCATCTCTGCTAAAAATACAAAATTAGCCAGGCGTGGTGGTGCATGCCTGTAATCCCAGCTGTTTGGGAAGCTGAGGCAGGAGAATCGCTTAAACTTGGGAGGCGGAGGTTGCAGTGAGCCAAAATCACACCGTCGCACTCCAGCCTGGGCAACAAGAGCAAAACGCCATTTCAAAAAATTAATTAAAGAAGTTTATACAGTAAAAAAGTTACAGTAAGCTAAAGTTAATGTATTATTGAAGAAAGAAAAATGTTTTTTATAAATTTAGTGTAGTGTAAGTGTACAGTGTTTATAAAAGTCTACGGTAGTATACAGTAATGTCCCACCTAGGCCCTCACATGCAGTCACCACTCACTCACTCACGCACTCACTCAATCACCCAGAGCAACTTCTAGTCCTACAGGCTGCATTCATGGTAGGTGCCCTATACAAGTGTACCATTTTTTATCTTTTATACCATATTTTTGCTGTACCTTTTCTATGTTTAGATGTGTTTAGATGCACTAATGCTTACCATTGTGTTACATTTGCCAGCAGTATTCAGTATGGTAACATGCTGTACAGGTTTGTAGCCGAGGAGCAAAGGTCTGGGTGTGTAGTAGGCAATCCTCCGTAGGTTTGTGTAATATACTGTGTTTGCACAATGACAAAATCGCCTAACCACGCATTTCTCAGGACATATCCCCGTCATTAAGCTACATGTGACTGTACTTTGAAATCAGGGAATGTGATGCCTCTGACTTTGTTCTTTTTACTCAAGATTGCTTTGGCTCTTCGGAGTCTTCTGTGGTTCCATGTGAATTTTAGGAATTTTTTTTTTCTATTTCTGTGAAAAATGATGTTGGAATTTTTTTTTTTTTTTTCTTTTTGAGATGGAGTTTCACCCTTGTCGCCCAGGCTGCAGTGCAATGGTGCAGTCTCAGCTCACTGCAACCTCCACCTCCCAGGTTCAAGCAGTTCTCCTGCCTCAGCCTCCCGAATAGCTGGGATTACAGGTGTACACCACCACGCCTGGCTAATTTTTGTATTTTTAGTAGAGACGGGGTTTCACCATGTTGGCCAGACTGGTCTAGAACTCCTGACCTCGGGTGATCTGCCCACCTTGGCCTCCCAAAGTGCTGGAATTACAGGTGTAAACCACCATGCTTGGCAGAATTTATTTATTTATTTGTTTGTTTATTTTTATTTTATTTTATTTTTTGAGACAGGGTCTGGCTTTGTTACCCAGGCTGTTGTACAGTGGTGCAATCTTGGCTCACTGCAAACTCCATCTCACAGGCTCAGCCTCCTGAGTAACCAGGACAGCAGGCTCCAGCCACAACACCTAGCTGATTTTTTGGTATTTTTCGTAGAGACAGGGTTTCACCATGTTGCCCAGGCTGGTCTCGGGCTCCTGAGCTCAAGCAATCCGCCTGCTTCGGCCGCCCAAAGTGTTGGGGATTACAGGTGTGAGCTACCACACCTGGCCTGCCATTGCAGTTTTGATAAAGATTGCATTGAACCTATAGATTGCTTTGGATAGTATGGACATTTTAACAATATTAATTCTTCCAGTCCATAAACAGAGGATATCTTACCATTTATTTGTATCATTTTCAGTTTCTTTGATCAATATTTTATAGTTTTCAGAATGCTATTAGGGTGTTTTGTTTTGTTTTTTCATTTATTAAGTTCTACAATTACAGTACATTGCTACAAACAGTGGTCTGTGGCAGAAATATAGCATGGTGGCTCACACCTGTAATCCCAGCAGTTTGGGAGGCCAAGGTGGGTGGATCACTTGAGGTCAGGAGTTGAAACCAGCCCGGACAACATGACGAAACCCCATCTCTACTAAAAATACAAAAATTAGCTGGGCGAGGTGGCACACACATGTAATGCCAGCTACTCAGAAGGCTGAGGCAGAAGAATCGCTTGAACCCAGGAAGCAGAGGTTGCAGTAAGCCGAGATTATGCCACTGCACTCCAGCCTGGGCGACAGAGTGAGACTCCATCTAAAAAAAAAAAAAAAAGAACCAGGAATGTCAGCCTTCTAGAATTACTGGGGCCCTTTCCTCAATTACATAGATTGTCAAACTTGGCAATATTACAAAACCATTATAAAGACAATAAAATTATCTGTAAGCCTGCACTGTCCAGTAGAGTAGCCACTAACCCTATAGCTATTGAGCATTTGAATGTGGTCAGGCCAAACTAAGGTGTGCTGTGACAGTATACAAACTAGATTTCAATGACTCTGTACACAAAAGAATGTAAAATATCCCATTAGTCATTTGTTGATTACATGTTGAAATGATATTTTGGATATGTTGGGTAAGTAAAATATTAAAATTTCAGCTGCATTTTTTTTTTTTTCCGACGTGGCTACTAGAAAGTTTAAAATGACACACGACTCACATTTTATTTATTTTAGCCAGTGCTGCTCTAGACTGAGTTTGCATGAGGTGTAACTCTGTCTAGAGCTATAGTGACATGTAAGTAATGTATATGCTTTGTACAAAATCTCCCTATAAACTGCTGATTTTGAAATTGAAGTCATGAAAGACAGATTGAACCGATAGAGTCCTTTGAGAGTCACCAGTTATTGGCAAGTATAAACCCCACCAGGATAGGGGATGGAGGGAGGAATCCACTGGTTATTTGATGCAAAAAAAAAAGAAAAAAAAAGAAAAAGTGGTGGGGTGCGCTTATAGTCCCAGCTACTTGGGAGGCTGAGGTGGGAGGATCACTTGAGCCCAGGAGTATGAGTCTAGCCTGGGCAACATATGAAACCCCATCTCTTTTTTAAAAAAGGAAAAAAATGGTGAATAGGAGCCATGGTCATTGGGTGACAACAAACTATACGTAAGAGGAGGGTTAACCTAGTAGAGATTTTCAGTGTGATCTATTACTTACAAAGTCTTCCTGTGGTTTCTCTTTAGGGGCAAGCTGTGTGTGATTGATTGGAAGACATCAGAGAAACCAAAGCCTTTTATTCAAAGTACATTTGACAACCCACTGCAAGTTGTGGCATACATGGGTGCCATGAACCATGACACCAATTACAGTTTTCAGGTCAGGACACCGAGCCTCTACTTAAAGCTTTGCTCAGTGCTTACTTAAAACTGTAACTCCAGGCCGGGCACGGTGGCTCTGTAATCCCAGCAGTTTGGGAGGCCAAGGCAGGTGGATCACTTGAGGTCAGGAGTTCGAGACCAGCCTGGCCAATATGGTGAAACCCCCGTCTCTACCAAAAATACAAAAACTAGCTGGGCATGGTGGCTCATGCCTGTAATCCCAGCTACTCTGGTAGCTGAGGCAGGAGAATTGCTTGAACCCGGGAGGTGAAGTTGCAGTGAGCCAAGATTGCACCACTGCACTCCAGCCTTAGCAAGAGAATGAGACTCTATCTCAAATCCGTCTCAAAAAAAAAAAAACTTCTTGGTCAGAGGGGTAGGAGGAGAAAAACTGTTAAAAAAAAAAAGTTAAAAAATAGAACTCCTTGAGGTTTTCACTCTTTTTTTTTTAATCTCTTTTTATCCCACCACTTAATCTCTTCCTTGTTCCTCTCCCACTTAAAAAAGCACTTTTTGGCTGGGCACAGTGGCTCACACACTTTGGGAGGCCGAGGCAGGCAGATTGCTTGAGCTCAGGAGTTCAAGTCCAGCCTGGGCAACATAGTGAAACCCCATATCTACAAAAGAATACAAAAATTAGCTGGACGTGGTGGCGCGCACCTATGGTGCCAGCTACTTGGGAGGCTGAGGTGGGAGGATTGCTTGAGCCCAGGAAGTAGAGGTTCCAGTGAACTGAGATCATACCACTGCACTCCAGCCTGGCCAACAGAGTAAAACCTTGTCTCAAAAATAAATAAATAGGCCGGGTGTGGTGGCTCAAGCCTATAATCCCAGCACTTTGGGAGGCCAAGGTGGGCAGATCACCTGAGGTCAGGAGTTCAACACCAGCCTGGCTGACATGGCGACACCCTATCTCTACTAAAAATACAAAAATTAGCTGGGCGTTTTGGTGTGTGTCTCTAGTCCCAGCTACTTGGGAGGCTGAGGCAGGAGAATTGCTTGAACCCAGGAGGTGGAGGTTGCGGTGAGCCAAGGTTGTGCCACTGCACTCTAGCCTGGGCAACAGAGCAAGACTGTCTCTAAATAAATAAACAGCACTTTTTGGCTGGGTGTGGTGACTCATGCCTGTAATCACAGCACTTTGAAGGAGGCCGAGGTGGGCAGATTGCTTGAGCCCAGGAGTTCAAGACCAGCCTGGGCAACATGACAAAACCCCATCACTACTAAAAACAAGAAAAATCAGCCTTAAATGATGCCTGCCTCAGCTCTGAGAGTGCGGTGAGCCAAGATTGTGCCACTGAACTCCACCCTGGATGATGGGAGTGGGATCTTGTCTCAAAGAAGGAAAAAAACAGCACTTTTCCACCCTCTTGGGCTTTTTTTTTTTTTTTTTTTTTTTTTTTTTAGTGGCTCTGTAATGATCACAGTCCAGTCTTTAATGTTTTATCTGTCATCTTTTTGTTCTTGTGTCCTGGTGCAGCCTTTGATCAACCCACTTTAGAAACTGAGTTAGGAGATATCCTGTAGATTGTTTTATACTGAGTTTGCCCTGGAGTAAGAAGGAAATGAACCTAAACTCTGGACTACTGTAGTGAAACCAGAATTGCCCTGTGTTTCTTCCTAGGTTCAGTGTGGCTTAATTGTGGTGGCCTACAAAGACGGATCACCTGCCCACCCACATTTCATGGATGCAGAGCTCTGTTCCCAGTACTGGGCCAAGTGGCTTCTTCGACTAGAAGAATATACGGAAAAAAAAAAGAACCAGAATATTCAGAAACCAGAATAGGGAACAGGACGCTATTTGGGAACATTCAGCACCTTCTCACAGTTTGGGAACATATATTGCTGTTTATTCCAGTGTAAAAATGAGGTGCCACTGGATCTGAGTGCTACATGAACACAAGTAGAAGTATTAATGTGTTGAAATGTGTTGTTACCAGAAAGACTGAAAAGCCCCAAAGTCTAGATGTAGAGAGCTAGGCTTCGGCATGCGAAATCCCAGCTCTGCTACCTCTTATTTACCTGAAAGCAGGACACACAGGATGGGCAGTCACGCTGGTGACTCTTGGACTCCCTTGAGGGACCTTTTTTTGGGGGGGAATCCCAGGCAGGATGCCCAGTCTTTGAGCTGAGATTGGAAGGCAGTGAGGCTGAGGGTGCCAAGATTTCCCCAGGGTTCACCCAGAGGGGAAGGGGCTACACACCCCCAGCTGTGTGCAGGGAGGACACATCAGCCCACTACCGCTGCCAACACCAATGCCTAAAACTTGTTTCATACATTGGGGTTTTCTATATATTTCAGTTGGGAAAAGCTTACATTTAACCTTTTAAAAAAATAAATACGTGATTAGCCTCAACTAAACATTGCCAACTATAAAGACAGAGTATATTCACTATGTTGCTGGCAATATGCTGTTGCATAACACCAAATAACCCCCAGAAGTAGCCAGAGGTCAGTTTGAACATCACAATTGTAAGTGTTTTAGTAGCTATTTCTGGCGTGAGTCAAGGGATCATGTAGATAGAGTCAATTATTGTTTGTGGAGTTTTTCAGCTATAGGGGAGGGGAACTATTAAAATCCATTTGTTTCTATTCAATAGGTAATAAAATTATTATTGTCACTGGGTTTGGGAAACTTAAATGCCCATTACAGCCCTGGGGAAGGGTTTTCTGTCTTATGGAGTGAGTCTTAGCATTTAAGTTATAGTTGCTGCCTTAAAATAGTAGCCTGCTACAATGACTTCTTTGGGTAGCCATTTTCGTAAGAAATAAAATACAAGATATGAGTAATGAAGCTTTGGTTTTGTTTACTTTGTGTGTTTATAGGATAATTTTATAAACCTGGAAATCGTTTGCACTCTGTTTATAATTCAGAGGTTTACCACCAGCCCAATAACTTGGTGAGAGTTCTATGTAAATGCATAAAAGAAAGCGTCCTCACTAAGCCCTCAGCCATGGTCACCTGGCAAGGAAAGCAAGATTCGGGTAGGAGACAGGAGGATCAAGGGGGACCGGGGACCTTTGTATTATCTCTATACACTTCTGCATTCATGTGGGTTTTTCTCAAGCTGCAGATACATATTTCTGTAGCCTGTAATTTCCAGTCAAAAATGAAGTGAGGTAATTAAAAGTTGTACTAGCAGAGTTTGCCACTCTGCTCTAATAAGCCTCAACCTAGAATTTAGGAGGCTAGACCTAGCAAAATTTCTTTTTCTTTTCTTTTCATTTCTTTTCTTTTCTTTTTTTTTTTTTTTTTTTTGAGACAGTCTGGCTCTGTCAGCCAGGCTGGAGTGCAGTGGGCTCACTCTAGCCTCCACCTCCCAGGCTCAATCAATTCTCCTGCCTCAGCTTCCCAAGTAGCTGGGATTACAGGTGTGCACCACCATGCCCTCCTAATTTTTGTATTTTTAGTAAAGACGGTTTTGTCATGTTGACCAGGCTAGTCTCGAACTCCTGACCCAGGTGATCCGCCTGCCTCGGCCTCCCAAAGTGCTGGGATTACAGGCGCGAGTCACTGACCAGCTGCAAAATTTCATTTTAATACAGGTGTTGTGTTGTGTAAATAGAAATTTGCCTCAGACCTGTCACTTTGTACCACGAGTCTCCCAAGATAATGGTGGCCTGAAAAGTTCTATGAGGGAGGCCCTCAGAAGAGTGACCAGGAGGATGTGCTTGGTATATGAACAGAGAAGGTAAATCCCTGGGCAGGTTTTCTTGAGCTCAAGGCCTCCCCAGTTTCTCCTGACAATTGTGATACTCCTCGGGGGTCACATCTCCTGAGATGCTAACGTCAATGGAAAAAAATTATTACTACGAAAGCATAGGATGAGAAAGTCAAATTTGAGTTTCTAAATGAGTCGTGGTTTTTCAAGAATTAACATGTATGAGGCCAGGCGCAGTGGCTTATGCCTGTAATCTCAGCACTTTGGGAGGCTGAGGTGGGTGAATCACTTGAGGTCAGGAGTGCAAGACCAGCCTGGCCAACATGGTAAAACCCTGCTTCGCTACTAAAAAAACATTAGCTGGGCCTGCTGGTGCACACCTATAGTCCCGTCTACCTGGGGAACTAAGACGGGAGAATCGTTTGAATCCGAGAGGTAGAGGTTGCAGTGAGCTAAGGCCACACCACTGCACTCCAGCCTGGGCAGCAGAGCGAGACTCCGTCTCAAAAAAAAAAAAAAAAAATTAACACGTGTGTTACGAATTGTTGGTTGCGATCTCTTTTGCCTAAGTGATATACTGCATATGAAACTCCAGTGAAATGAAACTGAGCATTCAAAGTAAGGAGAGATAATTTAAATTTTTTTAAAGGAGGTGTGTGTATATTGCTTTTCTGAGGAGGCTTTCTCAGAAGTACAAAACGTTGCCTTCCAGTGTTTCGTTTTGAGAAAAACTATTGGCTTCAAAGCTAACTGCATTTCCTTTTCCTCCAGAGTTCTAGCCATTCTTACCAGTGCAGTCAGCAACTGATGGAAGTTCCATGCTGACACAAAAGCCAATTTTGTTTTTTCAAAAAAAAAAATATATATATATATGTATGTGTGTGTATATATACACACACACACACATATATGGCCTTTTTCCCCCTTACACCTGGCTTCTTCCTCGGAGCCTGATAATCTGAGAACATTAGCCTCTGTAAACCTATCATAATTCTAGGAAACCTACGGTTTCACATGTGTTGACCTTGGTAAATATAGGAAGGGGGTTAATCGTAAGTCAGTGTGTTTCTAGGTAACCAATTTGCCTACTGGCTTTAAAAGGAATTGGAGAAGGGTAATTTGTTTTAATCACTGAGGCTTTCCACCTGAGCAATTAAATATTTGATTATAACCTGCGCTGTGTTCTTGCCCATCCCTCAACAAAAAAGTGAAGGAAGGGAATCACTGGAGAAAAAAACATTTGAGAAACAAAATAGAGAATAGTTGAAAGTTCCATGTTTAAAGAAACAATAAGTTGTTTGGAGCTATGTGTTAAATCACTCAATGCTAAGTAAAAGGTAGAACTGACTTTTCCTTCCTTCCTGCCTCCCTCCCTTGCAGCAGCAGAGGCCTAAAATTTCAGTAGATATGTGCTTCTGCTGGAAGTCTGACCTACTGATCCACTTCAGTTATTTATACTATTGAAGGGAACTAGAGAGAATCTCTGGGGAGAGACCCCTGAATGAGCAAAAGGCTTGTACGTTGCCTTGACAATAACAATTGTCAGGTTGAGTAATGCATTTGTGAAGATCCAATCATAAAAAGATGGCCAGGCACAGTGGCTCATGACTAATCCCAGCACTTTGGGAGGCTGAGGCAGGTGGATCATTTGAGCTCAGGAGTTTGAGATCAGCCTGGGCAACATGGCAAAACCCCGTCTCTACCAAAAATACAAAAAATTAGCCAGGTTTGGTGGCATGCACCTGTGGTCCCAGCTACTTGGGAGGCTGAGGCAGGATCGCTTGAGCCTGGGAGGCAAAGGTTGTAGTGAGCCACGATTGCACCACTGCACTCCAGCCTCAGCAACAGAATGAGACCCTGTCTCAAATAAATAAATAAATAATATTTTGGGTTCAGATTTGAGGGTTTTTTTCCATTTTACTTAAGAAATAGATATAAAATAAGTAGATTGTTACAGGCCAGGCACAGTGGTTCACACCTTGAACCCAATGCTTTGGGAGGCCAAGGCTAGAGGATCGCTTGAGGCCAGGAGCTGGAGACCAGCTTGGGCAACATAGACTCCCATCTCTAAAAATTAAAAAGTAGTGTAATCCCAGCACTTAGGGAGGCCGAGGCAGGCAGATGACGAGGTCAGGAGATCAAGACCGTCCTGGCTAACACGGTGAAACTCCGTCTCTACTAAAAATACAAAAAATTAGCCGGGCATGGTGGTGGGCGCCTGTAGTCCCAGCTACTCTGGAGGCTGAGGCAGAAGAATGGCGTAAACCCGGGAGGCTGAGCTTGCAGTGAGTCGAGATCACTCCACTGCACTCCAGCCTGGGCGACAGAGCGAGACTCCGTCTTGGGGGAAAAAAAAAAAAAGTCATCGGGCATGGGGGTGCATGCTGATAGTCCTAGCTACTTGGGAGCCTGAGACAAGAGGATCACTTGAGCCCAGGTGTCCAAGGCTGCAGAGAGCTTTGATCACACCATTGCACTCCATTCTGGGTGAAACCTTGTCTCTAAAACAAACAAACAACCAACAACAACAACAAAATAGACCAGGCCGGCACGGTGTCTCATGTCTGTAATCCCAGCACTTTGGGGAGCTGAGGCAGGTGGATCTCCTGAGGTCAGGAGTTCGAGACCAGCCTGGCCAAGATGGTGAAATCCCATCTCTACTAAAAATATAAAAATTAGCCGGGCATGGTGGCGGGCACCTGTAATTCCAGCCATTCAGGAGGCTGAGGCACGAGAATCACTTGAACCCGGGAGGCAGAGGTTGCAGTGAGCCAAGACTGTGCCACTCCACTCCAGCCTGGGCGACAGAGCAAGACTCAGTTTCCAAAAAAAAAAAAAAAAAAAGCATTACAGATAAAAGCTGTTGCCTTATTTTCTTAATCCCATTTCCCTCTCCCCTGAGATAAATGCTGTCATAAATTTGATGTGGGTTTTTTTTTGTAGTTTTACTGTGTGTACTGGTTTCCATGTATAATATAGTTTTGCTTTCTGTGTTTTTAGATTTACTTGCTTTGTCTCAGCTTTGTTTTTGAGATCTCTCCAGGTTCACCAATTCTAGATCTTCCATAACTACTTTTAACTGTTCTGCACTTCTCCCTCCTGTTTTATTGTCATGCTAATGAACTGTTCGGTTAACAGTGTTTTGCTACTCCAGACGATGCAGCAGTGAACACCTTTGCATGCGTTTTCTGGTACACACAACACACATGCAATATAGTAGAAAGTGCAGTGTGGATTGTGACTCTGCCACTCACTAGCTCTGTGACCATGGACTAGTTACTTGACTTTTTTTTTTTTTTTTTTTGAGCTCGGCCTCCAGGGTTCACGCCATTCTCGTGCCTCAGCCTCCTGAGTAGCTGGGACTACAGGCATCTGCCACCACGCCCGGCTAAATTTTTTTGTATTTTTAGTAGAGACGGGGTTTCACCGTGTTAGCCGGGATGGTCTCGATCTCCTGACATCGTGATCCACCCGCCTCTGCCTCCCAAAGTGCCGGGATTACAGGCTTGAGCCACCGCACCCGGCCTGTGACTTGACCTTTTTGTGCTTGATTTCCTCATCTGTAATTTGGGGGAAAATAATAGTACCTGCTTCTTGAAATTGCGAGGATTCAGTGAGATAAGCACTCAGAAAAGTGCCTGACATATGTTGGGAACAAAATGTTAACCATTCTGCTATCAAATGATCAGACCTGGACGTGTCTCTGCTGGGTCAAAGTTTGAACATTACCACCAAACTCCTCTCCAAAACAGTGACATCGACTTACAGTCCCACCAGTGGTGTCTGAAATTTCCTGATTTCTCGCGTATTCACTAACACAAGAGTTGTCAGCCCCCGATCTGATGGGATGAAAACCTTTTTTTTTTTTTTTTTTTGGAACCGCATTAATGCGTGAATAAAATCTGCTTTAAGATGCGACTGCCATCTAGCGGTGAGAGGAGTACACTGCAATTATGGGGCAGAAGCCAAAAATGGGCGGACCTACATCTATCTCAGGGTAATTTGGGCATTTTAGTCACCAGCACAGGTCTGTTTTGAATAAAATCAACTACATGAGCGTTCTTCCATTATATCTCTATTTTCAGGCAGCTTGTACCTCTCACTTTTTCTACTACAATAATATGGAAGCCTG